TTCTACTTATTTCCTATGAGTATGTTATTTAAGATAACATTATCTTTATCAAAGTCGCTTACAGATACAGTGAGATGTGATTTTGGTTGATTGGAATAGGTGGCACATTTTGACATAAAATTTGATCTTCGTAGTTAGAGACTTGCTCTGTTACTGGTCATTTGGAACAGTTTTTGTCACCTGCTGTTTTTCACCTGCTACCTGCTGTTATGTATTCCATGCACAAAACACATGCTATTCTCATCAATTTGAACAGTGAAACAAATTCAGGGATTATCTTTTTCCATATATTTTCAGAATTCCATATATTTTTAATTTTTAGTTTTTCTGGATATCCAAAACATTTTAATACATGCAAGTTGAGTATGAATTTTTTGTAATATATTGGTTTCTAAGCTTTTTTACTCATCACTCATAGAAAAATAATGGAAAGTGTCAAAAAAAAGCTAAAAGCAAAATTAAAAAGAAAATAAGGGAAAACTAATTCCAGAATTTTTCCGGATATTTTATTCAAACAATATTCCGGATTTTTAAAATATGACTAGGGTGAGCTATGCAAATTATTAAATTGAATAAGACAATGCTTATCTGTTTTAAAGTTCAATTTTATATAAAACTTTTTCTTTTTTTTAATATTATAAAAGTTTTTTAGCGGTAGCCTACTGTTTGTGTTCTAAAAATAGAACAATTTAATGTAGCTAAAATGATTATGGAGTTGATATTCGAACAAACAATTTGATAAACATGAAGAGCAAAGGTCCTACAAAGTTGGTTTTTTTTGCCTTCCCTGGTTAGCCAGAAACTACTTTTAGGAATAGCACTAAATATTTTAGAGAGTTATGAGAACTGTGCTGTGTGTATGAGAACTAGTTAAATGTGTTGGCCTTTAAATAAAACTGATGCCAAAAAAAAAAAGGAAAAAATTTAATTTTTAGGTTTCCAAAATTTGAACCTCAAAAACCTTGGTTTTGGGTAAAAGTTTTGGGAAAATATATATATTTCCGCATGAGCATTTAAGTTGGTAAACTCCCAGATTTGAGTTCTGAGGTAGTTTTGTTTTGTTGTTGCATAATATGTTATTTAAATTGAGAGCTGAAGTAAATATAACTCTGATGTTTTGTTTTCTAAATTCTCTTCGGAGTTTTGGGCCAATAATAGGTGTATAAGGTAGTTTAACAAACTTTTAATTAGATGTAGTATTTTTTGAAACGGGGTATAAATAGTTTTTGGTTATTTTGATAAGATTACTTTTTATGTATTTATGAGGAAATCAATTTCTTGTGATAGATATTTTTGAGAAGAGATTTGTTTTACTCTACATAAAAATCTTTTAATAACGCCAGTGGTTATGCTTGGGTTGATGTTGGAGTTGGTTTTATTTGAACATTTGTTATCGCATCCTTATGGTGTAAGGATGCAATAACAAATGATAAACTCATAAAATCCATTTATTGTATTTGTAATACAAATATCTAAAAAATTAAGTTGTTTTATTTTGTTTTCAAGTTCAACTGTATATTTTATGGAGGGGTTTTGTTCATTTAAAGTTTTAAGAAACAATTCTTGCTTTCCTTTTGAATTGAAGTGAGCATGGCTATCATCCACATCTTTTGTAAGTTATTGGTTGGAATGAATTAACAAAGGCTATATTAAGGGCTCTTTTTTCTATACTTTGCAAAAATGCTTCAGCTATGACTACCATCAACGATAAACCAATTGGGCCTGAATTAGGTAAAATTAGGATTTTATCTTTGTATAAAAAATAACATATGCTTAATGAAAGTTCAATTAACTGGTGTATATCTATAAGAGTTAATTTAGTCCTAGTTTTTAAATCGTCAAGTTCATTGCTCAATATGTTAACAATAACAGGTATTGCTTCATTGATTGGTACAGATAGATATAAATTAACTGCATCGAATGAAACCTGAATTCCTACTTTTCATATAAAAAAGAAAAGAAAAAAAAAAAGGGGTTATTAAGGAATTAAAAGTATATAATTCATTCCAACCAATAACTTACAATAACTAAATATTATATTATATATACATACATAATATAATAAGTAACAGTCTACTGCTGCATTGTTGGGCATGATAGATAAACAGACTTGTCAGGATATTGCCAAACATAAATACGTATACTAGTGTACCAAAAATATACACTATTATACATATTTATAAAAGTTTTTTAAAAATTTTTATAGTTTTATAGTTTACATTTAAAAAAATCTGTTTACATTTAAAAATTTATAGTTTACATTTTTATAGTTTAAATTTTAAAACATTTAAAATTTTTAACATTTTTTAACAATTTTTAACTATTTTTTTACAAATTTTTACAATAACCTTTTTCTAATTAAATTTTTCACAATTTTTACAATAAACAATTTTTTAACAATTTTTAATATTCTAAACAATTTAAAATTTTTAAACATTTAAAATTTTTATAGTTTTATAGTTTACATTTAAAAAATCTGTTTACATTTAAAAATTTATAGTTTACAATTTATAGTTTACATTTAAAAAATTTAAACCCCCCTCTGTCGCTCACTTTTAAAAAATTCTTCAACGCTAAGCAGTGATTTAGTCTATATATGAAATTATAAATCAGAATTGTTATCAGATGATGTTAAACATGAATATGATAAACATAAATATAGCATTTAACTTAAAGATTTAACTTAAAGATTTAACTTTTTTTTTTTTTTAATAATGAACAAAAATTGTTAAATTAAAAAAAATTACATGCAAAGTTTGAGATATTCACTATGAGTAATCCACTATGAAGATTTTCTTACTAATAGTTTTATATTTATATAATTAGAAGTTATTTTTTATGTTTATAGGTATGATTGCATATATAAAAAAATATTCAATTTGATATGAGCAATATTAAATTGAAGATTGATGAGATGCTTGATAAAATTGTTGAGAAATTATTACCTTTGAAACAAAGATATTTATTCAACTACCAACTGTCTTATGTACATATATGTCATATATGCACCAATCAAGTCAACTAGCAACTAATGGAGAGACATTACACAATTATCTATACTTTACAAGATTTCATTTAAAACTAACTGGTAAAAAAAAATCTGTAGTCTGCAAAAAAGTGAGCGTTGTTTGGAAAATGACAGGAATTCAAACAAAACAAAAAAAATACTGCTAGAATAATACTGCATATGATATATATTAGAAAGAACTTAATTAAAAATGTAAATGGTTTAACTTCTGAGTTTTACTAATAAATTGTCATCTCTGTGTGATATTGCAGCATTAAATGCAAATGGTTTAATAAGAAAAGATACCTCCCAGGTGATATCCTTCCCAGGACATCAATAGTCAGATCTCAAATTTAGATTTTTTTTAAATCAGCATTAATTAAAAAAATAATTTTTGGGTTTATTAGACAAGAACTATGAAAGTAAAAAGAAAGAAGCAAAGAAAATAAAAGCTATTAAAAAAGAGAAAATATTAAGAGATGATTATCAAGTATGTTTCCAAATTGTATTTGTGATTACTGAATGTAATATAAATAAATGTACAGTGGCGCAAACCTGGTTCTTTCCATCACGCTAAATGGTTGTTTACAATTTTGTACACATCAAAAATGTGTACAAAATTGTATTAAAATGGTTTTTAAATTTACTCTTTTGAAGCTGAGACTTTTATCAATTTAAATCATCAAAATAAAATTTATGATAAATTTTTAAATTATTTATGAAGTAGTTATTTTAATTATAATTTTTTAGTTATAATTCTAAAAAATCAATGTTTTAGACAAAAATGTATTTAAATGGTTATCAAGACTACATATAAAACATAATTAAATAGATGTAAAATGAACATAATTAAATAGATGTAAAAATATAATATTTTAAGTAAAAAACATCTTAAAATTTAGAATTTTTTAAAATAACATTAGCCTTTATTGAACAAAACTACACAAGAAACTGTGAAAAAGTGATTATTGTTGATTATCAAAAATGTTTTCGGTCTTTTTTCTCATAATTTTAATGGACAATAAGGGTAGCAGGGAGGACAAATATGGAAATTTTCTGATTTTTTTTCTTTTTGGTTTTAGTAGACAAAACTACTAATTAAACTGTTTGAAGATCTAAAAACCCCAAAATATATACATTATTATATGCACCTTATATAGACTATTTTTTATTTTTGGGAAAACCTAATGTTTATGCAATACTATATGTACCTTATAGAGAATATTTTTTATTTTTGGGAAACCTAATGTATATGCAATATTATAATATTTTTTTATTTTATATTTGTAGTGAAAGGTCATTAAAATTTGAATTTAATAAATTGAAATGTTTAGAACCTTTGTTAAAAAACTTGTTTTTTAATTTCAGTTTTTTTTATTCTCAAATTATCTTATAAAAATAAAATGTTACAAATATTAAATTCTTTCCTCCCATAAACACTCCATGCCTCCTGCCTTTTATAAAAACCTTAAATATCCTAATATTTGCAAAAACCTCCTAAAAAGACCTAAATTCTCCTAAAATATACTTGAATTTCAATAATACTTCTAAATTCTTATAATTTAATCTTGTTTTTTGAATTAAAGTTTTCTTTCGGACATTCAATTTAAACTTTCAATTTTTTTTATTAAAGTTTTTTAAATATTTAAATTTCGTAGAAAAAAATTTTAAAATTCTCCTAAATAATCCTAATTTTTTTAATCGTTTTCCAAGTTTTCACATAAAATCTAAAAAACCTTCAAAATCTCCTAAGTTTTTCTAATTTTTTAACTCAAAAAAAGTGGGGTCACCCTGACCCCATCCCCACCTCTAAACCTGTAACAAAAGAGCATCCACAGAACAGTACAAGATAATGAAATCAAATTTTTAATTTGTCAAAATGCATTTAAATCTAGGTTAATTATGTTACAATTAACTAACTAATAAATAATTATAATATAAACTGTTTATTAGTTTTAACGAAAAATAAAACATGAGAAAATTTATTTTTAAGGGTCAAGCAACAGATATCGCTATCCAGGCTAAAGAAATTCTGCATTTAAAGACAATGCTTAATAAAATATATAGCATTCATACCGGCAAAGATGTTGCAATATTAGGTGAGAATTTTTTTATTGTGAAATGTGAACAATTGTTCATAATAGTTCACATTTATTAAAAAAGCAAAAAAAAAAATCTTAAATGAAAGCGCATTAGTATAAAAAAAAAATTGAACTTTAAATTACAAATATTAATATTTATAAGGTATTATATATAGGTAGTGTATACTATTTATACCTATTTACCTAGTATATACCTAGTCTGCCACTACACTATAGAGTGATTTCTTTGCAAATGAGAAAATCCGAATTCGATCCCTATCTCCTTCGTGGTACAGCGTTCAACTTATTTTTATGCGAAGCGGCCTTGTTTATTACTTTTATTTTGAAAATAATACAGTTGGATCTCGGTATCTTGAACTCTCAGGGGACCGGGAAAAAAATTCGAGATATCGAAAAGATTTAGACTCAAATGAGTGCGCAAAGGACCGGAAATAAAGTTCGAGATATCAAGAGTCAACTATAGGATCATAAAACTTAAAAATCACTTTTTATTAGTTAGCACATTACTTGCAAATATTTATAACATTACAGTGTCTTTAAACAATTATATATAACACATTGTCTTTAAAGGATTATTTATAACAATGATATATTATATATACTAGATGTCTAACTTCGATCCGAAAAGTGAAGTTACTTTTGCCATTTTTACAAATGGCGGATTAAACTTGTAAACAATATTTAATTTTTCTTTTTGTAAACAATATTTAACTTTTCTTTTCTTAAAAATGAAGTAAATATAATTTAAATATAAATACTTTTTATGTTTAATTGTTAAGAAGAAATTAGAACACTTGTAAAATAATAATTTGTTTCCTAAATTCATTTACGATTAGAAAGGGATAAAAGTTTTAAATAAAAAAGTTAAACGACAGACATTTTTGAAGCATTTTCAAGAATTATAATACTTTTTAATAAACCTAGACTCATAAAAAAACTTTTATAAGTATTTTATATTTATAAAAACGTATTTTTGAATTATCTTTAATTTGTTGAGATTAATTGTTTAATTTTGATGCTCTTAACTTGCATTTTTAACTTTTATTCCACACATCGGCTTCAGCTTCTGCCCTTTTTTACAAATGGCGGACTATATTTATAAACAAAAACGGCTTCATTTTTCGTCTAATAAAATCCCCCCAATAAGCCATTTAGTTTATAAAATATATCATTAAACATTACAGTGTCTTTAAACAATTATTTATAACATTACAGTATTTTTAAATGATTACTTATAACATAACAATGTCTATAGAAATTTTAATAACAATATATTGTCTTTGAAAGATTATATAACTACAGTGTCTTAAAAGATACACTACAGTGTATCCTTTAAGACACACTACAGTGTCTTAAAAGTATTATTTACAACATTACAGTGTCTTTAAATAAAAAAAAAACATTAGCAGAATGACAACTATTGAATAGAAAAAATATTTAGCTTTCAATAACACCAAAAATATCAATTGAAGTTAAGTGCAAGGGTTCCTAGTTTTAATCGACTGTTGTTGTATCAGTATAAACTGAAACAACAGCAATAACAATTTATTTTCTTTTAATAATCATTTAAAATGATAAGGTGTTTTCCATAACGAACGCAGGTAAAGGGGAAGAATGGGTTACTAAAAAACAAGTATTTGTTTTTTAGTAACCCATTCTTCCTCTTTACCTGCGTTCGTTATTCTCTATAAAATACAGTTTTATAGAGAAATACAATCCGCGGTTTGTATTTCTCTATAAAACTGTATTTCTTTTTTTTTTTTTAACAAAAACATTAAATTTTACGAGTTTTAGAAAAGTTAATATTATGTTATGTAACAGATATGTCGACTTAACTCAAACTTTTTTTGTTTTTAATGTTTTAAAAATTTATGCGTTATGGAAAAGAGGGTTGATTTTGTAATAAATAATGCATACGTACAAAGAAGAAGGTCGGGTCCAATATAAAAGAACCCAAAATTATTAAAGACTTCATAAATAAATGGATCAGAGTTACCAAGAAAGTCCAGCTGAAGACTATGCAAAAGCTGATGTCAAGTGTAAAACGCAAAGTGCTTACGTTCTCACGTACAAAACTTCACAAACTTTCTTAAGTGAAATTTAAGAATATTAACATACAGTATCGGACAAAACAAGTGCAACCAAATAATGCTAATTTAGTTTCTTTATATAAAAGTGCTGCATTTTTTCAATTTAGAGAAACAAATATGTAACTTTTTTTTTTTTTTTTTAACATCTTCGCTTCCAACAAGGATGCAAGCAACCACTAATTAGTGTTGGAAGTTACTGGAAGAGAAAAGATGAAGATTGTAGAGCAAGATAACGGTTGACAGACGACTTAAAAGATTGCAAATTATATGAATCAGGAAAGCAAATTGAAGGAAGCGAATTCCAAAGGACTGATGTTTGAGAAAAAAAACTAGACGAATAAGAGTTTTTGGAGCACTTAGGAACAGTAACAGAAAAAGGATGAGACTTAATTGAATGAGGAGTAACACGAGAATGAATTTTTGTAGATGGCACAAGAGACGCTAGCTTTTTAGAGCAGTGCCCATTATAGTATTTGAAGAAAAGAGAAAGAGAAGCAATATTATGACGATGTGACAGAGGTTGAAGGTCGGCTGCAAGAGTAGGTCCAACTATGTATACAATGCGTTTTTGCACCTTGTCTAAAAGAGAAAGGGTATCATTAGAAAATCCACCCCAGATATGGCAACGTGTTCCATACAAGGCTGGATTTGAGATTTATAGAGATAAAGAATAGAATCCAGAGTAAGAAAGTGAGGAGCTCAATAAAGAGAAGCGACTTTAGCAGATGTTAATTTTGCGAAGGATTTGATATAAGGTTTCCAAGAAAGCACAGAAGAGTTAATCCTAAAAGATGAAGGGTAGTAGACTCATCAAGTACATTACTGTTCATAAATATAGGAAGGTCTAAATTATTGCGATAACGATTGGCTGAAAAAAATTGAGTTTTATCTGAATTAAAGTTCACCAGCCACTGTGAGCCCCATGCTGTAGCAGAAGTGAGATCCTTTTCAAGCTCAGATGCCCCCTGCAAGCAATCAGAGGGAGTTGGCTTCTTGTCATGACAAGAATAAATGGTAGTATCATCAGCGAACAATTCCACCTTAGATGTAAGAAAATCTGGAAGATCGTTAATGTAAATTAGAAAGAGTATAGGGCCGAGGATTGAACCTTGAGAAACCCCTGAGGTTACAGAATAAAAAGAAGAGTGCTATCCATCAAGGACAACTTTTATACTACGATTGGAAAGGAAGGATTCGATAATCTTAAAGATGTTTTCAGATACACCGTAAGAATAAAGCTTATGGAGAAGACCAGCATGCCAAACTTTATCAAACGCCTTAGAAATGTTAAGAGCGATGGCCTTAACCTCTCCACCTTTATCTAATGCACGATAAAACCTATCGGTTATTACTGTTAGCAAATCAGCCGTAGAACGAGAAGATCGAAATCCATATTGATGATCAGAAAGTAGGTTATGAGATTCGAGATTAAGTGTTTATTAATTAATGATTCAAAAACCTTGCTTATGATAGGAAGAAGACTAATGGGACGGTAGTTAGACGAATCAGATCGCTCTCCAGAATTTTTGAAAATAGGGATAACAGATGCTGCTTTCCAGCAGGCTGGAAAACAAGACTCTGATAAGCACTTGTTAAAAAGTTTTGAAAGGATAGACTACAGCTCCGGAGAACACTTCTGCAAGACTATAACAGGTATGTTGTCCAGGCCGCAAGCTGTAGAAGAATCTAACCAGGAAACCACTTTAGATACAGAAGCTGGAGTGATACAGATGTCTAGCAGTGGATCAACCTGTTTGACGGCTATATCAGGTAAAACGCAACTAGTGGGATCCAGAGATGATATTGATGAAAAGTTCTTGGCAAACAATTCAGCTTTGTCTTTAGGTGAGGTGACAAAGTCTGAACCGTACAAAAGAGGTGGAATTACAGACTTGCCCTAATTATTGATACTATTAAAGATTCTCCAGAAGTCACGAGAGCCTAATTTTTGTGATGAAATACGAGATTTCATGATCTGAGAGTAGCGGGCTTTGGCGTTAGACAAAACCTTTTTACAATGGTTCCTAGCAGTAATAAACAGACGTCTGTTTTCTGGAGAATTGTTTTGCTGATAGATATGGAAGTAATGGTTTCGATTAGCAATTGCAGCAGCAAAATGTGAGAAAAACCATGGAGAAGAGTGAGGCTTAACCTGGAATCGTCGAGAGGGAATAAAGGATTCCATGCCAGCCTGAATCCACGAAGTTATGTAAGAAGTACATTTGTCAACAGGAAGACGAAAGATTTCTACCCAGGGGCCATCACAAAGAAAATCACGGAAAGAGTCCCAGTCAGCTTTTAGGTAGTTGTAAGATGTATAATGATAGGGGGATTCTGATGGTAAAAAAGAATGAGATAATAGTTTTAGAGAGACTAAGCCATGATCAGAAGCACCTAAGGGTGAGTGTGGTGAAACTGAGCACTGACTAGGATTAGAAACAAGACATAAGTCGAGTAGAGAAGGTAAATGATTTGGATTGTCTGGGAAGCGAGTTGGAAAGTTGACTATTTGAGTCAGGGATTAAGAAAGGCAAAAGTTGTGGGCCTTAATGCCTGCGGAGTCACTGACACAATAGCCAAGCCATTCAGTGTGATGAACATTAAAGTCACCTACAATAACAATATTGGCTGATGGATAAAGAATGAGGGCTTGGTCAATATAATCAGTAATAACATCAAGAAGAGTGCAGTCTTGAGATGAAGGAGAGCGGTATATAACAAAGAGAAAAGTGATAGAGTGAAGTGGTGCTAAACGATAGCACATAAAAGAGTAGTCTGTGGATTCAAACCTAGTTTCCCGACAAATGGGTGAATTCTTACGAATGTAAATGCCTAGGCCAAGCATGTGACTATTGGAGTCTTAACGAAAGAAAGATAACCATCAACACTTAGATCACAAGATGAGACAGCTGAACTCAAATTAGTCTCACAAAGAGCAAGTAGGTCTAGTGAACTTTGCAAGAGATAAGACTCAACAGAAGAAAAGTTACTTCGAAGACCACGAATATTGGTGAATGATAGGTTTAGCGAACTTGGTGATGACTGTGGTTTTTTGTGTTTTATAGTTTTTGTTACTTTGTTCATTTTAAATTTGATTAAAGAACTTGACTCGAAACATAGATAGTACTCAGTACACTGTTTTATAGGCCAAGCAATTGCCTCATTTCACTAATAAACCCTAAGCCGTAACAAAGGGCTCCAATGTGGCATTGGCAATGCACACCAAAAGTACAAACAGGGACACCATCCATGCGCAACATCACACTGTTAGTGCTCTGATATTTTTCAGCTGTTGATGGAATCAGCCTCTCTGAGAGCTACCACAGAGTTCGGGAAACCTGACTACCAGCCGGCCTCAGAACCATAAAACTGAGTTTTAGAGCTGTACCCTCATTTGGAGATAATAGAATGAGTTGCCTAGTCATAAAAACAGAGACACAAGCAAAACCCATGCATCGAGTCAAGAAGATCCAAATATTTAGAGACAACGTTCATTAAGTTTTATTTATGACAAAGTTCATTATTTGTACACAGAAATTAATAAATTAATCAAAAGTATTAAAAAGAGTTGATTTCCTTCTAGACAAAACAAGTGCAACTCCACAAAATGTTGAACAAGCTGTATTTCGCTATCAATATTTCGTAGCGAATCCTTTGTTGTCGATCACAGCCTTGCATCTTCGAGGCATAGATTCGATCAGGTGATCAATGAAGCTTTGTAGAATCGCTGTGTAGCCTTTTGGATTTATTCAAACAGATGGTCCTTATTACGAACACCTTCAGGATTAATTCTGCGGTTGACAATCTCCCATTACGAGATTTAGTAAACTGGGAATAATGGAGCTTTGCTTCAAACTGTTTACATTGATTTCTTGCTATAATAAATAGCGTTTTTCTTAAGATAGTTGTTCTTTTGAAAAAGATCAAAAAAATAATTACAATTAGATATAGCAGTTGCACTAGAAGGTGAAAACTATGGAATAGAATGAGGTTTGAAACCGAGGAGAAGGAATAAAAGCTTTCATTCCTGCCTGGATCCATGAGATTATGTAGGAAGCCCATTTATCAACAGATAAAGAAACGACAAAAGCCCAAAGACCGTCACGAAAAAAATTACGAAAAGAATCCCAGTCAGGTTCTCGATAGAGTTGAGATCTGGAGAATGAGGCGGCCAATCCACCACCGATAGGTGGTTGTCTTGAAACCATTGCTTGACTACTTTTGCAGTGTGTTTCCGATCGTTGTCTTGCTGAAAAACCCATTTTATTGGCATATTCCATTCAGCATAAGGTAACATCATAACATCTTTCAGGATATTTTAATACATGAAACGGTCCATTATTTCATCGATTCGATGTATTGGACATAGACCATTAGCAGAAAAACACCCTTAGACCATTACATTGCCTCCACCATGCTTCACGGTCTTATGGCAGTAACGCATATTGAGGCGTTTTCCGGCCGGTCGACGTACACGGCAGATGCGATCGCTCCCAATGATGTTGAACTTCGATTCATCACTGAACAGGACAGTTCGCCATTTCTGCATATTCCAGTCAATATGAGATGTAGCAAACAGGAGTCTTTTATTCTGGTTCTTTAGTGAAATTAGCGGTTTCTTTGCAGGGCGTAGAAAAAACAATCCGGCTTCAACAGCACGTCTTCTGATTGTTCGGTCCGATACAGGCAGCTCTAATTGCTTTTGTATCTCGACTAATGATATTCATCCTTCTTGACGGATCTGACGATCATAGAATCCTCTCTAGAAGTGGTGGAACGCGGTCTTTCACCTTATTTATCTGCTGCCAACTTCCCCGTAGAACGATATTTGGAACATAGTCTTGATACGGTCCATTTTTTTACGTGATCCACTTACGTAATCGCCATAATTTTCTTTCTTAGTTCCAATCCAAGACTTTCGGGAGCCATTTTTGCACTTGAAGTCATAAAAATAATAAAAATAAATAATCACGCTTTTCAAGGCTCACCGTGTTAATTCTCTATTACTTCTGTATGCTTCTGGAACTTTCTGGATACTTCCTCTAATTATTAAAAAACTTCTGGGACGTTGACACGGACCAGACTTAAGAAAATAAAACAAACCAAAAAAGTTGCACTTGTTTTGTCCGCTGCAAAATGGCACTTGTCAACGAAATTGTGCCTGTGTCTTGGCATGCAATGACTCCAGACTCCTGAACTGTTTGCTGTGGTAGTATAGTTTGTTTCGTTTTTAAGACATGTAAAATTAGGTACACTTTTTAGCATTGTTCTATGTTGGTTGCAAATGTTTTGTTCAATACTGTATGTACTTTCAAAAAATACATATCATTCAACATCGAAATACAATAGTTAAATAAATATCCTTTAAAATGTCCGCGCAGATTTTTTCTGGTACATGTCTTAAATGTATCAAATTGATATCATAAGTCGTTTTAACCTGTTTGTTGATATTTAACATTGAAAAAGATGCTTTTTTTTTATAAAGATAAAATGAATCTTCTGAACATTTTGCTTATTTAAATTTAACATCGCAAATCTCTCAAGGAAACTGTTTTTCACACCACTTTTTTTTGTAAAATATGTTTGTGTGTGTCTGCGTGTACTTTTGTATACTTAAAACTTATTTATATTTTTATCTTTTGACTGTAGAACTTATGTATACTTAAAACTTATTTATATTTTTATCTTTTGACTGCGTACTTTTACTGCTCCGAGCTTTGGACCGTGTTGGTAAAATATAAATTGTAAATGAATACTTTTAATTATATAAAACTTTTGATTATGTAAATTAGTGTTTAAATAACCACACACACCCTCCTCTTCCCCACTTCCGTTACCAAGTATATTTTCTTAAATTAACATACAAACGTTTATCATCATACAAAAAAAATTTATTGTTTATAATTTAAACCTAATGCGCGAAATGGAATACGAAAATAATTTGCATTAAAAAACATTTATGAAAATAAAGTATTTGCATTAAAAAACATTTAAGATATTTTGAATATAAAACGGTTTGTTTGAATGTAAAACGGTTTGTTTTGAATTTTGAATATAAAACGGTTTGTTAAATATATATATTTCTGTCGCATTTTTGTAGAGCACGCTTTAGAAAGAGATAAATTCATGTCTGCCGAAGAAGCAAAAGAGTTTGGTGTCATTGATCACGTGTTAACTCAGTCACTTGAATCTAAAGTAAACTCTTAGCAAAACCAAGAAATTGTTATGATTTTTTCATTTCGAAATGAATTTTTTGAAAGTTATTTGAAAGAAAATTCAGAATTTTTTTTTTGAGTTTTATTAAATATCTACGTAAAATTTATTTTCAACTATATATGTATATACATCCTATATATATATATATATATATATATATATATATATATATATATATATATATATATATATATATATATATATATATATATATATATATATATATATATATATATATATATATATATATATATATATATATATATATATTAGGGCTGTTCAGTATGCTAATTTGGTTTCAGAACATAGCTAATTGAAGTTTTTCCCATTTAACTATCATATTGTGGTTCAAAAATAGTTTTTACTAAATTTTATTATTTGCCCTGAAGGTCTCTCAAAGCCCCTAAACATTTGACAGGTCCCTAATATTATTGAAAAAAAAATTATTTAAAAATATGTCAACTTGGTACTCAAAAGAAGCAAAATCATTTAAAAATTTCAAAAACAAAAAGTATTTTTTATAAAAAAAACAATATTAGGTTTTTTTTGAATTAAAACTATGGTTTTTAAACGAAAAATGAAAAAAAGGTATTATTCACAACATTTTTAATAATAAGTTTTTTATAAAAAATGAATCTAATTTTTAAAATTTTTATAAAATTTTGCTTCTTTTGAGTACCAAGTTGACATATTTTTAAATAATTTTTTTTAATAATATTAGGGACCTGTCAATTGTTTAGTGGCTTTGAGGGACCTTTAGGGCAAATAATAAAATTTAGTAAAAAATATTTTTGAACCACAATATGATAGTTGAATGGGAAAAACTTCAATTAGCTATGTTCTGAAAACAAATTAGCATACTGAACAGCCCTAATATATATATATATAGATATATATATATATTTATATATATATATATATATATATATTTATGTATATATGTATATATGTATATATGTATATATATATATATATATATATATATATATATATATATATATATATATATATATATATATATATATATATATATATATATATATGTATATATATATATATATATATATATATATATATAAATATATATATATATATATATATATATATATATATATATATATATATATATATATATATATATATATATATATATATATATATATATATATATATATATATATATATATATATATATATATATATATATATATATATATATATATACACAGTATCGGACAAAACAAGTGCAACCAAATAATGCTAATTTAGTTTCTTTATATAAAAGTGCTGCATTTTTTCAATTTAGAGAAATAACTATGTAACTGTTTAGAGACAACGTTCTTCAAGTTTTGTTCATCACAAAGTTGATTATTTGTACACGAAAATTGATAAATTAATCAAAAGTACTAAAAAAAGTTGATTTTCTTCTAGACAAAACAAGTGTAACTCCACAAAATGTTGACCAAGCTGTATTTCGCTATCAATATTTCGTGGAAAATTTTTTGTTGTCGATCACAGCCTTGCATCTTCGAAGCATAGATTCGATTAGGTGATCAATGAAACTTTGTGGAATCGCTGTCCAGCCTTTTGGATTTGTTCAAACAATTGATCCTTATTACGGTAAAGTAATAAAGATCAACTGCTCAAACAGTTTATCCTTATTATTTATTGGTTCTCGATAGGGTTGAGATCCGGAGATTGCGACGGCCAATCCATCACCGATAGGTGGTTGACTTGAAACTACTGCTTGGCTACTTTTGCAGTGTGTTTTGGATCGTTGTCTTGCTGAAAAACCTATTTTATTGGCATATTCCATTCAGCATAAAGTAACATAACATCTTTCAGGATATTTTTATACATGAAACGGTCCATTATTCCATCGATTCGATGTATTGGACATAGACCATTAGCAGAAAAACACCCTTAGACCATTACATTGCCTCCACCATGCTTCACGGTCTTATGGCAGTAACGCAAATTGAGGCGTTTTCCGGCCGGTCGACGTACACGGCAGATGCCGTCGCTCCCTATGATGTTGATGTCGATTCATCACTGAACAGGATAGTTCGCCATTTCTGTATATTCCAGTCAATATGAGATGAGCAAACAGGAGTCTTTTATTCTGGTTCTTTAGTGAAATCAGCGGTTTCTATGCAGGGCGAAGAAAACAATTCGGCTTCAACAGCACGTCGTCTGATTGTTCTGTCCGATACAGGCAGCTCTAATTGCTTTTGTATCTCGACTAATGATATTCAGGGATCCTTCTTGACGGATCTGACGATCATAGAATCCTCTCTAGAAGTGGTGGAACGCGGTCTTTCACCTTATTTATCTGCTGCCAACTTCCCCGTAGAACGATATTTGGAACATAGTCTTGATACGGTCCATTTATTCACGCGATATTTATCACAAATACTTTTTTTTGACATTCCACTTACGTAATCGCCAATAATTTTCTTTCTTAGTTCCAATCTAAGACTGTCGGAGCCATTTTTGCACTTGAAGTCATAAAAATAAATAATAACACTTTTCAAGGCTTCCCGTGTTACATTTACCTTGTGATGATAAAATAATGCTCTGTGGAACACAACGTCTTGGTTGGATGTGGATTGTATTGATGTAATGAAACACTTGTTTTATTTCACTTCTTGTATTGAAGTTCTTCGATAAAACACTTTGATAAAACTCACTTCGATAAACTGTCTTGATAATACTGACTGATTGACTTCCATATACTGACTGAATAACATGTCGGTTTACATGTCTTTTATATAGTAAAATAAACCTGTGTGAACCTGTTCTGGAAGATTCTAGATGCTTCTTTTCGATGCGTCTGGATACTTCCTTTAATTATTAAAAAACTTCCGTGACGTTGACACGGACCAGACTTAAGAAAATGAAGCAAACCAAAAAAGTTGCAATTGTTTTTTCCGCTGCAAAATGGCACTTGTCAACAAAATTATGCCTGTGTGCTGTCACCTGACAGCTGATTGCTCATGTCATAGCATGCTATAAATCCAGACTCCTGAACTGTTTGCTGTGGTAGTATAGTTCGTTTCGTTTTTAAGACATGGAAAATTAAGAACACTTTTTAGCATTGTTCGATGTTGGTTGCAAATGTTTTGTCCAATACTGTATATTTATATATATATATATATATATATATATATATATATATATATATATATATATATATATATATATATATACGTATGTATGTATATATATATATATATATATATATATATATATATATATATATATATATATATATATATATATATATATATATACATACGTATGTATGTATGTATATATATATATATATATATATATATATATATATATATATATATATATATATATATATATACGTATGTATGTATATATATATATATATATATATATATATATATATATATATATATATATATATATATATATATATATATATATATATATACAAATATGATCATTTTATAAAAAAAATAAAAAGGTGCTCGTTTACCCCAAATCGTGTGGTAAATGCGCACCCGTATACTTTGTAACATAAATTCTACGCTTTTTATTTTTTCTTAAATCCAACATTCCTCTAAGGAAGATTTAGTGTAGTACTAAAAAAACTAATCTCACTTTTTAAAATTATCTTTAAGTTTTTTTTTTTATTATGAAAAAAGCTATAAAAAAGATGCTCAATTACCCACGCTACGGTATATATTTTTATATATATATGCTTAAAATTAACAACTTAAAAATGTTTTTAAACTTGTTTTAATAAAGAAGATCTTGAAGATCTTTTCAAAAATTTCGATAGTTACGATTTCTATATATTAGTTAGAATTTTGGAAAACATCGAGAAATACTCCATCAAAGTTTTAATGTTTCTTTTTGTTCATTTAAATTTCAAAACTGGAACGATTTTTTTATTATTGACATAAAATCGACTTTTCCTTTCTTAGCAGTTCTTCGATAAGTTGAGTGAATTTTTTTTTTTTTTTTTTACCTTCTATTAGGCACTAAAAGAAGTTTAAATCAATAGTGTTGCATGTAGAAATCACTTTTACTCCTATTCACTTTTTGTTCAAAGCAAGCCTTTGTAATTTTAAATAGTTATATATATTTAAAAAATGTTTATAAGTTAAAAAGTGAATTAAATTTTTTTTCTAAACATTTTACTTTTAAACATTTTTTCTTGAAGTTGTAAACTTCAAGAAAAAATGAATTTTTATATTATAAATGTGTTTTTATTGTTATTAATGATTTAATTACTAATAACACGTATCGCGGGTTGCTTACTGCTAGTTATTCATTAAACTCGTTTCCGCTGCGAAAACGAGATAAATTTGAAAATTTTTTTTTCAAATATATATTTTTAAAGTTTACTTGAACTCACTAATTTCTTGAACTTGGTGGCCTCCCGGCACGTGACCGGTGTAACAGTGAGTAAAACCGGCTCTGTATATAACTTCATTGTATTTTACATTATATAACCGCACTGTATATTAGGTAATATAACCGCATTGTTAGTTGTATAACCGTATTTTATTCATTTTAAATAATTTCTAAATGATTTTAGCTAGCTAATGAAAAAAAAAATATTTTTATATATTATCTAATTAAAATCGCATAGAATTTTTTAAATTGCAAAACATTTTCCACACACTATCATATCCAGTTCACACATACCAGTTCCCACACAAATCTGAATTATTATACAAATAGTCAAATAATTAGATACTTATCAGGTTGCTTAAAAATATTACGATAATTCCGGGAGACTGAATAAGCGCGAATTGGCATAAATGCGAACTGGCATAATTTAATTGCACTTATGCCAGCATTTGCAATTTTATTCAGTGCACTTATGCCAATTCGCACTTATGACAGTTCAAATGTTTTCAAACTCTTTTGGCGCACTTATGCCAATTTCCACTTATGTCAGTTCTCACTTATTCCAATTCGCACTTATGCCAGTTCGCACTTACGCCATTTGCACTTATGTCACTTTGCACTTATGAAATTCGCGCTTATTCAGTTATCCCAATAATTCAATAAAATTTCAGAGCGCGAACACTTAAGGAGGTATACCAGGAAGAAAAATGACAAAAAAAAAATATTTATTTATTTTTTTGTTTTATGAAATATTGACCCTTTATGTTGACTTTTAAAAAAAAACTTTCGCCAAACTTGGTTAAATATCTATCTTTACTTTGACCTACTTGAACCCCACTATCATATAAAACTCCCTAGCAACCTCATAGCAACAAGTTTTCTACTTGTATTGGAAGTGATTTTGGACTTGTCTTTTTAATAGCAATTTTGAGATGAAAGCATAAAGTCATCAAGAAAGAATTATTCTTGTTTTTCCCTATCAAAACTGCATTGATAGAAGTCACAAACCTTTTTAAACAGTTTTAACACTTTAAAATGATCTATTCTTTTTTATTTCTTGTTTGTTTTTTTTTGCATTAAGATTTTTTTAGGGTTTTTAAAATTCAATACATGATAACTTAAGTAAAGTTTATGTTAAACGGTGTATAATAAGTTGTTTTACAACTGTATCGATTTTCAATCCATAATCTTTTCACTAGATCAAGATATTATGTTTTGAAATACAGCCTTTGTTGTTCTTTTTTCCGCCATTATGGATTTTTAATAAGTTCTAAAATTTATCTTTTTAAATAAAAATAGTTGTAACACTTTATTAAAACAAGTTTTCATCAAAAAGTAGACTGCTAAAAAAGTTAGAAAAAAACAAATTTTCAAAAGTGGCATTGTTTTAAACAGTAACTGATGTAGAGTCTAAAAATATATAGATCTTCGTATGAGAAAAAAAATTTAGAACTAATAAAAGTGATTTATATTAGTAGGGTAATTTTGTTTCCCCTAGCAACGCTCATAGCAACCGCTAGTTAAGGTTAGTAATAAAAAAAAATTAAAAAACAAAGGAAAATTCTTAAAGCAACTAGGAAAGGGTTTGATAAAAAATACAAAAATTAAGAAGAGCAGTATATAAAAAAGGAAGATTTTAATAAGTTTGTATATTCAATATTTTTAATTTTATATGCTTTTTCTCTGTTTTATTCTTTTAATTTTCTGGCAAAGATTGCAGGAGCTGTAATTGTCCAATTGACTTAAAATTTTGTACAGAGATTCATTATAATAAGCTTTATGTCCTGAGATAAAAAAAATTTAGAATATAAACTTTTAAAACAACAAACTTTTTGTTCCTAATATCAGAAATTCGATTATTAATTAGGCGCTTTGAAAAATCTAACGATGCTTTAAAATAAAGAAATTTTCAACAAAAATTTTTATCTTAGGACATTTATCTACATAAAACAAATAAAAATACAAAAAATTAGAACTTAATAAATTATACTTTTTGAGATATCTTTGTCAAGATTTTAGCCTGTTTTTGGCCTAAAATCACCTGTTTTTGCCCAAAATATATATGAAAAAAAAAAAAAAAAATTAAAAATTATGAATTTTCTAATGTATTTATCATGTTCGAAGTAAAAAAATTTATTGAAATATTGTAAAATACAAAAATAATTTTTTTAGCAGTCTACCACCTTAAATTATTTATAATGACAAAATCGCTTAATAAATTTACTAGTTTTATGATTGCTGACATGTCTGAAATATAAAACCTTTATGTTTAAAGATTTTTCGTGTAGACCTGCACGAATTTATTCTATCCTCCTATAGGAGGATATAAATCTAAAATAATAATTTCTATATAAATCATAGTAAAAATTATTTTTCTCCATTACTTTATACATACTATTGATTTATCTCCATTACTTTATACATACTATTGATTTATCTCCATTACTTTATACATACTATTGATTTATCGTTACTTTAATCTATTGAAAATAATACAAGTACATCAGCTCTCAAATAATTTCATATTATGTTTCGACACTTTAAAAAAAAATTGAATAGAAATTAAAAAAAATTAAAGATACCAACAATCAAATTGTTTCACAACAATCAACTTATTATTACGTTACATTATTTATATTAAATACTTCTTTTAAAATTTTTGTTTTAAATCATGTTTTTTATGCTTCCGTATGCACTTCTTGCTAATTTCGCAGGATTCATTGCATCGATTTTTTTCGAAACTGATCTTGTCAGTGTTGAACTGCTAGAACTAGCTGGTTTTTTCTTCTGATTATTCTGTTTCATTCTGTTCTGTTCTACTTTTGAATCGCCTGAAGACCGCATTGGTGGACGCATCAGTGAACTCATACCTAGTTTAAGAATTTTGGCTTGAAGATCCATTAGTTTAGTTTCTCTAAACACAATAACAAGCAAATAAAAAACTTAATTCAACTGTCAATAATGGCGACATAAAAAATGAGATCGAAAGCAATGAGAAAGAAAAAACTTTTTAAAATATAGGAAATAACTTTTAAAAATTTCTTTAAATTTAATTCATAGGAAGTATCTGAATATAAAAGTTTTAGTTTCAAAAACTTTCATCATTTTTTAAAATAATTAAACATTACTGGTGATGGTGCCAATTAACTTATTTACAATTGTTTTTGTGATTTTTTTCATGTACTGATTTTAATCTTGTACTGAATTAACAGCCTTGCTTGTTTTGCGTAAATAATCTTTGCCATACAAAAAATACTGGGGGTCAACACCTCCATCAATATCTCGAGGTAATGACCCCCAGTAACTTTTAATCGGACAGAGTTGTGTGTAATTTGATTTATTGAGCTTTTTTGGCACAAAATTTATCTCTCTCAATTTATGAATTGAGATTAGTATGCCAAATTATGGTTTTCTAAGCGTAATAAGTAAACGTAAAGCGTTGAAATGAAACTATGTATAAATAAGTAGTTTTCCTGCGTAGGCACTAAACTAACTTAGTCCAAAACAAACAAAGTTTAGCGTGTGATCAAACGAGTAGCAAAAGTTGCTTCTGAAGATACACTTGAATATAAATTTCAGGTGTCAAAGTTGATGACAAATGCTTAACTTTCCGCAACTACAAATTGTTGTTAGAGTAGATTTATCCAAAAATTTGTATTTAAATTTGTTGCTAGAATCACTACGAACAATTAATATTTAAGTATAATATATAGTCACCAGGAAGTTGACTAAATTTGCCGTTGCAAGTCTCGTTGTTCATTAAAACGCCGTCGTACAACTTAATAAAAATATGAGTTAAAAGTTTCCGTGCTCGTGTTTTGACAATGAAAACTTGGGTACATAATTGCTGAGAAAAATTTGTAGTTATAATATTTTTTCACTTACTTAACAAAAAATATTTTTTCACTTACCTTAACAAAAAATGTTTTTTTACTTTATTAACAAAAAAGTGAAACACTTTAGCTCTTTCTTTACCACTTAAGTCTTATTTACCACTGATTGATTTTTTTTCTTTTTTTTCTCTCTATTTTAAGTTCTTTTAGCTCGTTCAATAAATAAAATATCGTTGTTTTATTTTTATTACCACTCCAACTGTAGATATCGTAATTCAGGAAGCTTTAAGACCTGTTTGTCGATCGATATTAGATCGACTTGTATGTAAATTTACACTGGGTTTTCATCATAAATGTGATTTTTCTATGACATTTTATTAAGTTGATAATTTGTTTTTTCTTTTCCTTTTTTTTTTACATTTTTTGACACTTATTTTTATTACCCAATTTAAATATTTTTAAATGTGTTACTAATTTATATTAAAAAGATTTTCCGTTCTCATTTTTTTCAATCTCATGCTTTATATCTTGACTGCTTTCACAACGTACAAAAGTTGTCTACAACATAAAGTTTTTCACAAATTACACTTCTTAAACAAAAGCAACCTAAATCGTAAACAAAATTTAAATAAATAATAAATAAAGAATTTTCTAATTAAAAACTCTAGAAATTAGAAACACCAGAAATCAGTGAAAATAAAAATAAAATATTTATTGTAATGTCTCCTGCATTTTTTTATTTTATATATAAACCTTTAATAAGGTTTTTCATTATTTATTATAAGATACAAAAGAAAATTTATTTTTATAAATTTATTCATTTTTTTTTTTCATTTTATTATTTATAGAAAAATAAAGAGACTTTCAAATTAAGAAAAAATATTTTATATAACATAAATATTTTACATAACAGTTGTGTTTATGATTTGATCAAAAACATGATTTTTCTAAAAAATTTAACAACAACAGCCATTTTGATTGCTATACCATCATCATCATCATCATCATCATAATCATCATCATCATCGTCATCATCATCATCATCATCATCATTATCATTATTACCATCACCATATGTATAGTTTAAATATGCTTGATTAAATTACTTGATGAATGACCGCATAAAATAATGAGATAAACGACTGAGATGACAAAATGACTAACTGATCAGAGATAAATGATTGGGGATAATTTATTAAAGGACTGAGATGAGTAAAATAGTTAACTGATATCAATAAAATGAGATGAATGACTGAAACAAATAAGGTTATTAAAACTTACTCAACACGCAAAGTCATAGAGAAACAAATTATTGCAAAATAATAACTTATGTTACATCACTCTGAAAAAACTTTCATGAAAATGTAATGTTACCTCAAATAAATCCCATTTAGTGATAGCACACTAAGCTTTTTTTTATTTTTTTGATATTAGGATGCTCCCAGAAGGACCTCGGCTATGTTACAGAGCACCGTTTTAAAGAATTAAACAACCGCTTTCTTTGATAACGCTTTAACAGCCAAAAACATTAAACCTTGGATCTCCTGATTTTGAAGCCAACGATGGCTATTTATATGTAGAGTTTTTCTCATATATTTTATCTCATTTTGTTGATATCGGTTAATTATTTTACTCATCTTAGTCTTTTAGTAATTTACCACTTAGTCTAGTTACATATTTGTTGCATATAATTATATGTTATCGTACATATGCAACAAGGCAAAAGTATTTATTGCTACTTAATTTTCTGCCTAATGTATTAAAGAACTAAGTATAAAGAATTAAAGTATAAAATTATTTTTTACTAGTTGTAATTAATTGTTGTTTATTGTATAAATATATATATATATATTTTTTTTTTTTTTTTTTTTTTTTGAAAGTGGACCGTAAATTCTTATGGTATCGAGTTTTTAAATTATTATCTTATTAATTATAGCTAATTAACAGGAATATATATTCTCAAAACTTCTTGAGTTCCTCTGAAATAGTGAAAAAAGAACAACAGAACTCTTAAATAGTTTGAGTTTAACTTTCTCAAAAGGTTGTTAAAGCAACTGTCATCAAAGATGTTTTTTGAATGTTTATAACAGCTTTTGTTTACTGATTTACAAGGTTATTGATTTTATTTTTTTAAATCTTTTTAGTTAACAACCAATTATAAAAAACCATATATATATATATATATATATATATATATATATATATATATATATATATATATATATATATATATATATATATATATATATATATATATATATATATATATATATATATATATATATATATATATATATATATATGTATATATATGTATATATATATATATATATATATATATATATATATATATATATGTATATATATATATATATATTTATATACATATATATATATATATATATATATATATATATATATATATATATATATACATATATATATATATATATATATATATATATATATATATACATATATATATATACATATATATATATATATATATATATATATATATATATATATATATATATATATATATATATATATATATAAATACAGGGCTGTTTTTAAGATTTTGATGGGGAGGGGGGGAGGATGACGACTAACTATGCGAAAACAAAAATAAAGTTATAAAAAAAAAAAAAAAAAAGGTCCTCGTTAGCCGACATTTGCCGACTGCCAACAATAGTTCCAATTTTGCCGTCTCCAAATTGTCGACTAATAAAATTTGAACGGGGGTTAGAAACTCCTACACCCCCTTCCCCCACGGAAACCATACGCTAAAATAATGATATTTATCATAAATTTCATTAATGATAAATATCTTGAAATTCAAGGTGTTTTTATGATTTTTATTTTTTTTCTAAGCAGAGAGGATTATAAATAAATAAAAATGAAATTTACTATTTTACTTGCCTAATCAAAATGAACTTCTATTGAAAAAATAATAGCACAAATGATTTTTGTAAACAAACTTCGATTAATGCACCAATTCCGATTAATTTATTGCTTGCCATCTGTCTACAAAAAATATTTGAACAGATTAAGTATTGAGCAGCTGCTCATTATTTATCCACAATACTAAAAAATGTTATTTTGTAAGATAAAATTTGAAATGATTTCTGAATTTTAGATATGAATTTTCTTTCAAAGTATAAAACAGCTGATTTTTTGTAGATTTATTATGTAAAGAAAAAATTTAGATAGATATCAAGATATCAGTTCAACGGATATACGACTGCAATAATATTTTATTAAAAGCACATTAAAAAAGTATAAATGCTCTTTTAAAAAAACTCGAAAAGCATAATAAAGCTGTAATTTTTATGAAATGTTATATATTTGCTTGTAAGATCTTTAAGTTTGTCCAGATTGGTCAACAAAATTATAATCAGTTTAACATTTATGATATTTAAATGATAATAATTTGACATTTTTGGTCATCTTAAACATCTTGACCAATAAACTTTATGACGAGACATCATAAAACCAAATATTCGCAGAACCAACGACACGGAGGGGAAAGAGGGGGTGATAGGAACAACTGCCCTCCCCCCCTTTTCCTTTTTTTTTTTAAAGATCTTTTTTTTTTTTTTTAAATTTCTAGATTTAGAGGAATTTTTTTTAAAAATTGATATTATTTTAACAAGCAGAAAAATTGTGACTGTTAAAGCTTTTAGTTCACATGATACGTTTTTTTGTTAGAGGACTTATAAATTTTTTTTACGGAGAACAAATTTGTCCAAGTCCTGCTGTAAATTTATTTAAAAACAACTTTCCACAGAAATCATATTTTGAATATCCTGCTAGTGTAAGTGAGTTGTGTTACCTTGGTCTTAATTTTTTCGTAGTTAATTTTTTTAAAGCACTTTTATAAAACAAAAGAAAAAATATCATCCCAAAACAATTTGTACAGAACAATTTTAAAAATGGCATTCTCAGAGTAAAAAAGGTTCAACACCTATGATTCCACTTCGTCAAATTAAACATACTTTAGCACATCTTGCTTCTGAGAAAAGAAAAAAAAAACGTACATGAAGAAAATGTTTTTGTTGCAGACCCAGAAAACTCAAAATTCAAAAGAAATATTCTTAAAACGAAACTTAATATAAAGTCTAAAAAAAAAGATACAAAAATTCCTTTTGAACCTAAATCAAGTGTATAGTCTTTATCACTTTTTGACCACTTTAATCATCGCTTCACGAAAATGGCTGCTTGTTGCTTGATGATCATGATTATGTAAAAGAAAATCAAACCTATGATGCTAACCTTACTTTTCCAGATAATAAAAAGTTAACCACAATAAAATATAATATTAATTGTGTAATGGAAAAAACAATTTATTCTATTCCTACAAATAATATAGTGTGTGTTTTTGAAAATTCTACTAATACAAAATCTTTTAAAGAAAATAATATTCCTAAAATGACTATAAATAATAAAAATATTTTAACAAGCAAAGAAAATAATTTTTTATTTTCGAAACTTATTTGCAATTGTATTCAGCAACATATACAAGAAAATGAATCAGAAATAAATGTTAACATTGAGAACATATACTCTAACGATTCTAGTGAACATGAAAATTATAAAAATGCTGAGCGAAACTCAGATGCATGGCTAAACATATATAAAAAAAAAATATTGGTCGGCTGTTAAATGTCGACTTCTGCATTGTTAGGTATATATGGTAAAAAAAAAGTATGAATCCTATTGGAAAATTATAAAAAAAGGACTTAATAAAAGTGATTTATTTAATAACTGCTATTTCCGTCGTGGTCACGAGTTTGAAAAAAAAGCGCTTTAATTTTTTCGAAACCAGTTTTTATCTAATGGTTTCTTTACTTTAACATAAGGTAAAACATACGGTTTAAGTTCTGATGCTTTGGTAGCTCCAAACTTATTACTTATTAAAGAAAAATCAGAAAATTCAAAAGAGCTATTGTCAAACTTATTAAAATCCTATTTTATTCTAACGCAAATGATATTTTATTCTAACGCAACTCCAAATGATATGTATACAATCAAACTACTGTTTTTTTATGTCCTATCATCCTGAATCAAAAACTGCAAAGTACTTCCTTATCCAGAAAAACAATTCTTTGTGGGATGTAATAAAGTATTTAATGGACAATATCTTTTCAATCACCGATTTCAGACGGGCCCGCAAAATTATAAGATTTAGCAGCGGTTGATAGCTGGGGCTAGATTTGGCGTATATTTATATATTTTTAAACTCTAATTTACTTCCAACAAGATTGCAAGCAATCACTTTTAAGTTATAAGTTTTTAAGTTAAAAATGATTTCCTAGTAACTTTTAAGTTACTAGGAAACAGTTAACTGAAGATTTAAAAAGTTTTAGGTTATATAAAAAAGAAAAATATGAAGGTGGGTAAAAGTTATAAAGTTTTTTTGATGTTCCATGAAAAAAACTGGATTAATAAAAGTTTTTATAGCTTGAAGAGTCAGATACAGAAAAAGTGTGCACTTTGTTGAATAAGATGCCAAGCAAGAATGAGTTTTGATTTATCGTTGATATAGATAAGCTTGTCTGAGCATTGACATGATTTGTAAAAAAAAGAAAGAAAT